TATATATATATATATATATATATATATATATATATATGGTCAGCAAGCATACATGGACGGAACTGGGGCGGGAAGAGATTGTGTTTCCTGGTCCCTATTTTCTTGCTTCATGGCTTAGCTTTGCAATGAAAAACAGCTCTCCATATATTCATTAGAGTCTGTACTTGCTATTTTTTAAAAATAAATAAATAAAATGAAATAAAATTTTGGGCAGTGACATGCAAAAAACCCATAAAACAATGAGGGTAAATAAACTGGAGCGTGGGAAAGTCAAAGGAGCATCCCAGGGTGATTCTGGAAGCTGGGTCTAAAACACACCACAAAAACAATCCAGTTTGAGACTGCTTTAACTTCCTCGGGCTCAATACTAGAGAGAACACCTCTCTAGGAATTTCTAGGTCCTCCAGCATAACACTATGATCAACTTCCACTAACGTATCCTAGAATCATGCTGGAGGACCTAGAACATGCCTAGAGAGAACATAATTTTTCAGATGTGGGTTAGCGAAAGCTTGGGTACCAATCTTATGGATATGGAGGATGTACTGTACACTGGTGGGCAGATGCTAAATGTCAGATTCTCCATAGTGCCAAGTCTCTGAGAAATTCTGACATTTCGTCTTTGACAACCAATATAAACAATAGCATCACTTGAAATCTTAGCAAGTGTATATTGATGGACTGGTGATGTCAGTGATTGAATTAGGGACTTTCTGGGTGCAATGCATGAGTACTCCCCCTGTTCTGTAGCTTTAGTCCTAGGGTTTTCCACCTCTGCTCTTCCGGTTGATCCTCAATTTCTGCTCTTATTAGCCAGTGTGGCCAATGTCCAAGGATGCTGAGATTTGCAGTCCAAAGGATCCAGGGTGGCCAGATGTCATAACTGCAGAGGACAAGGCACCATACAATGGAGGACATTCAAGAAAAAATAAAGCTAAAAATATAGCTTAAAATACAACTGTAAATGTAAATTCATGTTTCTTAGTCATGCTAATAATAATAATAATAATAATAATAATAATAATAATAATAATAATAATAATTTTTCCCACCCCTCTGCATAACGCAGCAGGGGCAGCTTACAACATTAAAATATACATTCCACATCCCACAATCCCACCCACCCCTTAAAATACTATTAAACAGTTGACAGTTTAAAACACACTCAAATAATAACACAAATAAACAATAACTGCAGCAGCATCAGGAATAAGCAGGTTGGGCTATTTTTTGGTGGTCGGGATATCTATTCAGGAATAGAGGACATTCTGAAATTTCTCCTGGGCAGAAGGTTGAAACGTAGGAGGTGTCCTGGAAAAGGAGGACATCTAGTCACCCAGAAAAGATCTAGCGGGCCAAAGGTTGAGAACTACTGGTCTGTTTATTCTAGGCAGGACTCCAGTGTTTGTATTCCAGGAGTCCACTACTGTACAATTTTCACACCCCTTTTACAAACAATAATGGTTTCAGCTCCGATGGTCTGCAACTGCCCAGAGAATAGGAGTTTGCCAGAAAACAGTAAGTCTGGTTTCTCTGCTTCCTGCCATCTGCTGCAGTGACCAACTTTGCATGCTCTCCAGCAAGGATGACTTTATGTCTCAGCAATTATTGCTGCAGAAATCTCTTCTCTCTGTGCAACCAAAAATGTAATCTCCACCCCACCCCGAATCTGTAGCAACCAAGGTAGCATTGTACAGATTCCTAGGATTTGTAGTTTGCCATGGTACCAGCGCTTTCAGGTAGAGAATTTGAAACTAACTACACAAAACTACAAATCCCAGGCTTCCATCGGATGGAACCATAGCAGTTAAAATGCTATTGAAGTGCAATTATTGTGTGGAGTGTGAATGAGTGTCACCTCTTTATTTCAGGCAGAAAACACCCTTATGGATGAGAACAATCTTTTCCATTCGGTAGTTGAGCCCGGACATGGATCAGCTACTCTCAGCCGACTCCTTGTATCACTTTACTGTCCTGCTGTTATCCTTTGCATTTTTCCTTTTTGTGCTTCTGCTTTTTCCATCACTAGGGCTGTATTGTTCGGGACACACTCACCTTTCCTCTTCATATTTACTCTGCCCTGGTGTTACGGAATGGAAAGATACTCTTTGTTTGTAGGAGGATACCCCTTGGGGAAAGACAACCAGGCAGGCTATCAAGTTAATTTAACATAGGTTTGCTAGTCTTTCTTCTGTGAGTCAGCGTGGCGCAGTGGTTAGAGTGTTGGATTAATTCTTTGGGAGACCAGAGTTCGAATCCCTGCCTTGCCACGGGAACTCACTGGATGACCTTGGCAAGTTGCAATCTCTCAGCCTTAAAAGGAAAGCAACAGCAAACTACCTTTGAATAGATCTGCACCCCCCCAAAAAAAATCCGGGAATTGAACCCTGATCTCCAGATGCATAGTCTAACACTCCAACAAAGTGGCCCGAGTCTCAGCCTTTTAATCCAAAGTAGCAGCTCCATCTTTGCCACTAATGAAAATCCACTTTGACTCACTGTAATTAAGAACCTGGCTCCTTCAGGCTGAACAAAAAAAGCCATAAGAGAATTAGTGGAATGGGGGAGATATAATTACAGATCTTATTTTGCAGCCCAAAGCCACACATGTATTAAAGCTTTAATAGGAGATCATTTTCTGCTGTTTTGGGATCAGCCTCGTTTTAAAAACTGGGGATGCTTTAAGGACCATGACTGAAGATCCTTGTCTCTCCTGAATGTTTTTTTTTTGCAGAGCAATGAGATGTGCTATTTCTAGTAGTCAAACCCAGGATTGATCCTGAACATGTTGCAGATCAGTTGCCTTTCTAGAATAAGTAGTTCCCAGAATATTCCAGCTAACATAACTAGTGATTGTTTGGATTGAGAGATGCTGGGAGTTGTAGTCCAAAAAAGTAACTTTTCCAAGCTCAGACATGGATTACAGAGTGAGGTTGCCTAGTTTAAAACTTCTCCTCTAGGGTGAGATGTATCCTCTTTTGATTTATTTGTTTAGTCCCGATTCCTAAATCCTCACAAAATCCTGCATTTGGATGACTTGGGTTTAGGAATGGAAAGGCCATTTACTTTTACTTATTTCCTGACAAAAATTTGCCTAGTTTTTGCCTGGTCTTTGTACATCCCAAATTATATTGGGAAATTTCTCCGAGCGACTAGATACCTGGATTTTTGTGCAAAAATTACACTTTTCATGTAAAAGTTGTGGGTTATTTTTTGTTATTGTTGTTGCAAAAAAATAAAAAATAAAACAAACCACTTTTTCTTGAAATACATGCTTTTAGTGCAAAAAAAAAATCTCTCTTTTTTGGTGAAAAAAACCACCCAAAACAAATGCTCACACATTTCCATACAAAATAATTTGGCATGCGATGGGAAACATACTTTGAGATACATATATACTGGAAGAAAAAATTGCACAGAAATATTTGGGGAGAAAACTATGAAAAAATGACTTGCTCTTGTGTGCAAAGAGAAAAGAGTCCAAGATGTGCATCCCTACAAAATTAGACATCTTTCTTTTGTCACCTTTTAACATATGCAAGCAGGTTCTCAGTATAATGCTGGCATCTCCTTCATTCTCTGCTAGTTCTGGGTTTCCACGGCTGCATCTCAGCCCTTTGACAAAGCCTTCCCCTGTTCCTTTTATAAATCAAACACAATTGGGATTGTGTTCTGCAAAGAGCAATAGATTCTTATCACGAAGAATAATGAGTTTTTCAGTCAGCTGGACAGGTGTGTTGTGAGCCTGCTGTTTGCAGATGGCGTGGGCTGTCCCGAGAAACCTGGAATCAGCCCTCCCTTCTTGAATGGCAATGAATGAAGGCATGCACTGTATTTCTGAATCAAGTTTGCAAAGAAAATGTCAAGTTTCTAGCCCTTAAAAAACAAAAAGTACTATGCTGACATTCCCCTGTCATTTCTTTGGAAGTGGATGGTCTAAATGAGCAGAAAGCAGGATCACAGCCACTGTCCTTAAGTTAACTGAATGGCATGTATAGGTCCCACTTGCATATATATATTATTATTATTAATAATAATAATAATAATAATAATAATAATAATAATAATAATAATATCCTGCCTCTCCAAACAGTGTCTTGGATGAAACAGATTATCTAGACTCATTTCAAACCAGCTTCAGGACAGGATATGGAGCAGGGACTGCTATTGTTGTTATTGTTGTTGTTGTGTGCCTTCAAGTCATTTCCAACTTATTGCTACGGTGTAGATGCACCCGTTGTTCTGGTTTGGATAGGTTTGATCAGTTTTCAGCGAAGCGTGTCTCATAGTAGAAGTCCAGGGGCAAAGGTCTTTGAGGCAATCTGTGGAGTCTTCTAGTTGCAGAAAGGCAAAGCCAGGGAGAAAAAACAGATTGAAAAACATGCAACTGAACTGCAATGCCATTTCATGTTGTTTTCTTTCCCAGAATTGGCACTCCCAACCCGAGCAAGGGATATAGCTGATGACTTGATGAAAGAGTTTGCCTTTCTTTCTGGTGAGTACAGTCAACATGTGTTTGCTCTCTTTTGCAGTTTCCAGCACATTTATTTTAAATCAGGGAGGGCTGAGATGGAAGATGGGGAGAAAGTGGGTGGCCACGTCCACATCCATTGAAGACAAAGGTTGCGAAAGGACAAAGGCAGCCAAAACTCTGCATAACCTTTGCATATCCTTTATAGTTATAGCTGCCTATTTAAAATAATGGTTATTAATCAGAAATACAGGCCATCTGACTTTATTAGAGGGAAACCATGACCAGTTGATCATGGATGGGATCCTGCTTGTGACATTTGCATGCATAAGTGTGGGTTACATTCATGTAGATCGCTTTTTGGATGGGAGACAAAACACTGTTCTCTAGTCTTTTTGGTCCATCCAAAACTTCCCTCCCAGCAGCCATCAAACTGTTTCTGGCACTTACTGGTGAGAAGGGAACAGTGGAGGAAAGTACCATGCATACTCAACTATAAGTCAACCTCATGTATAAGCAGAGAGCAGGTTTTGAGGCCAAACTTATGGATTTTGATATGACTCGTGGATAAGTGGAGGGTAAAACTTAGTGAAATGAAACAAAGGATGTGAAGGATGAAGCAAAGGAAAACAATGCTCAAGAACATTGTCATTTCCCCACCCAGGCATTAAAAAAATGTGCAGAAGTGGCACCATGGCAGAAAATAGAAAGGATCAATGGTATTTTTGGTTCTCCTGGGATGGACCAAGCTCTCATCTTTTGCCACTCTACTCAGAGAAGGATAGGAGTTTTGTTTTGTTTTTAAATAAAAGTTAAAATACAATACAGTGGGCCCTCCACATTTACTGGAGTTAGGGGCACCCGTGAAAGTGAAAAACTGCAAATAAAAAATTATATTTTTTTAACCTGCGTGAACTCCAGTCTAGGAAACTCTAAGTCCTCCAAGGGAACTCTGTGGCCAACATTCAGCAGAAGTTGACCACAGAATTACAACTGGAGGAACTACAAATGTCTAGAGAAGTGTTTTCTCTAGGAATCTCTAGGTCTTCCAGTGTGACTCTATGCCCAGCTTTGGCAGAGTCCAGCTGAAGGATGTAGAGATTCCTAGAGAGAACATATTAATCAAATATATGAATAATCAAATCCATGAAAGTCAAAGCCGCAAATGTGGAGGCCAACTGTACTTGCATTGATGCATAGATAAGTCAATCTAGTTTTTTGGGGTTGATTTTTTTGATTAAAATTTTTAGACTTATACATGGGTATATGCAGTAGCTCAGTTGAAGAAAATGGAGCTGGTACTCATAAGGCTTGCTTTCCAGATCTTTGAAAATCTTGGTTACACTTCACTGGACATATTCCAGCTTGTCCATATCCTTCTTGAGCTGCGGTGCCCAGCACCCAAGAATTAAGAAGTCATCGATGTGCATGGAGAGAGAGTTAGCTATTGTTTGCAAGGCTTGCACATTGCCTGTTTGAACTGTTCACTACTTACCAATGCTCTCTGTACCATTTCTCTGTCTTTCTCCTCCTTTGCTCTGCCTAGGGGGACGAGGAAAAGACAATGGATGGATCATAACGCTTCCTGAAAACTCCCATTTCAACCAAATGCCCGAGGAAGTTGTGACCAAAGTGCTAACATACTTGACTCGGATCCCAAGGTACAGTTCTTGCCTTAGGGTTGAGGCTGAGTGAATACTGTGATGTTACATAACTGTAGCACTCAGCACCAGGGCTGGTCTTCCAAATGGGTTTTGCAGATCAGGAACATTATGTAGAAGGCTGGCTCATCCCAGCGGTTAGATATAAGGCATTGCTTGTGAAGACATTTTGAGGCTCTTGCCTATACTCAAACCTTAGGCCAAGGACATTTTCTTAGCCTAACCTGCCTCCAGGATGATAGGGAAGTTTAATGGCTTTGTTTTAATTGAATCACTTTGTTTTACAATGGGTCTTCCACATTTTCTGGGTCTAGGAGCGCAGGACCTCTGTGAAAGTGGGAAAATCACAATTTTTTAAAAAAATCCAAAACACTATTTTTTCCCTAAGAGAATACCTCTCTATAGCAATAGCAATAGCAAGTACATTTCTATACCACTTATCAGTGCACTTAAGCAATCCCAAAGTGGTTTATAATGTGTAAGCCAATTGCCCCCAACAAGCTGGGGACTCATTTTGGCGACCTTGGAAGGATGCAAGCTTGAGCCCTTGATGGGTATTGAACTCACAACCTTGTGGTTTGTGAGTGAGTGGTTGCAGTACAGGCATTTAACCACTTTGTCACCAGGGCTCCTAGGAATCTCTAGGTCCTCCAGAGCAACTCTGTAGTCCAATTCTGGCTGCCTTGAATCCCAGTCTGGGAGAAATCCTTGAAATAAATAATAAATAATATAATATAATAAAGTTGATCGTAGAATTGTGCTGGAGATCTACAGATGCCTAGAAAAGTGTTCTCTCTAGGAATCTCTAGGTCCTCCAGTGTGACTCTATAGTCAACTTCCACCAGAAAATAGACTGGTGAAGACTGGGCACTTTGCTGGTTTTGCAATCAAGTGACGTAACAGGAGTCCTCTAGGTATGGACGTTACACGGCCACGTAATTCTAATTCCTGCAGAAGTTAAGTCAGCATATGAAGATGCAAGACCCCAACAGCATTCCAGCATACTTATTTGAGCCATCTAAATTCTGACTGACTCCAACAAACTCTAAGTCGCACCTCTGTCTCATATTCCTAACTAACTAACACATAGCAGCCTTTAAAACTTCCCATCCAAATATTCACCAGTCACTCCCAACAT